AAAAATCCCATTTCAAGAGTTGTTTCAAGGGTAAAATGTCTAGACTATTATGATTTTATCAATGACAGAAAATCAACACTGAACGCGCATAATTCAAACGTGGCCCATCCCACAGGCTGGTAACTTCCTCCAATTTTCACTGAAAGGATTTCCCAATCCCATCTGTACCCTTTTCATCAACGACTGAAAGCTCCAGAATGACAAGACATTATCTTGATGTCATTTCAATGGCAGGGAGAGGGCTAACGTCTTCTAGGAAACATCTGATGGGCAGGAGCACAGACATCTGTAAGGCTCAACTGATTTCCATCCAGCAGACATTAAATCCCACACCAGATTACAATGACAGTTAAGGGCCCTCAAACTTCAGCCTGCACTGGAATTCCCTGGAGGACTTGTTAAGACAGACAGCTGAGCCCCAGCCCTGAAGTTTCTTGAGGAGGCCTGGAGGAGGCCTGACAATCTGCACTTCAAACAAGCTCTCAGGTGATGCTCATGTGGCCGGTCTAGGCACCACACTTTGAGAACAGGGCTTTAACTCATCCCTTAACAGGGACTCTTACGGTTCAGGACTTCATCACCTCACAGATGCACCTTTCCCAGGGAAAAGGTCCAGGACAGCCAGGAGGGGTACATGGCCCACCAACACTTAAGAGCCACCGATCTATACTGAGGGGACACACGACTGGGGCACATTGGCCACATACAATGTCAACCACAAAAACACGAGTAGATGGAGCTTTGCCAACTCGGTCCCATGGAAGTTTCTCCAGTTTGTCCTCTGCTAATACCTGCTGCATTTCAGCCCCTGTCCCATCACTGACCAGGTAACAACGACAGAAATACAGGGCATACCCTGTGCCAGTCTCAGGCTTTCCACAGCAATTCATTTAACCCTCCTGGCTAACTCCGGGGCGGGGCAAACAGAATCTCTTGGAAGAATCCTACCTCTGGGGACAAGAGGCATTTGCCACTTTGCAGGGCCAAGGGGACCCTACCTGGTGAACACTCCTGGCCCCAGAGGTCGGCTGGGGTTGAGGACAGGAGAAAGGCCCCCAGGGCAAACTTCTGAGAGCTCAGAAGAATACCTCTTCTGAGAAGAATTCTCAGAAGAATACAGGAAACAGTAGCACCAGCTTCTGACTGAGATAGAAGGCTATAGCCCTGACAAAGGTGAACTCCCCTCCCCCATGAGCTCTGAGAACTGAGGTACAATTATGATGCCCATTTTGCAGATGAGAAAATGGAGGCCCAGAGGAACAGCTTTCTGAAGGTGAAGGAGCTTGGATGGTGGAGCCAGGATATGAATCCACAGGCTCTGGGGTCTGCAAGTAACCGCTACTCGAAACCAAAGAAGGCCCTCGGAATAGCTGCTCAGACACCTCAGAGGAGGTGGCAGGGGCTCCTTCGGTCCTGAGATTTGTTTAGCAGAGACTAGAGTGTAGGAAAAGGTTGGAGATGAACGCAGAGGCTGACTCATTACATGACCTTGCTCGGACAGTTAACAGATAACCATTTTCCACCACAAACTCTAACCTCCACGTCATTAAAAGAAAAAAAAGAGAAGAAAGAAGGCATTCGGGTCCTTTGTATTCTAAAACCTCAAGTTCCTTGCACTCGTGTTGCTTTCGATTACATCACCCAGGTCCACCCTCCCCACCCCCCATGGCTCTTAGTCTGAAATGATCTTGCTTGCTGTCTCTTCCATCAGAACACAAGTTCCTTAGGTACAGGAACTGCATTTGACTTGTTTGTTACTGTATCCTCAGTGCCAGCTACATAGCAGGAGCTGAAGAACTCTCTACTAAACGAATAAACCAAGGCTGCGCTCCTCTGAGAGCATCCTTCCCCCTAAATCTCCTGTACTCTATTCCTGACTCTGTTACCCCTATAATATGTATTACCTTCCGACATACAATTTATTTACTAACCTGA